CCCCTCCTCCTCCCCTCCTCCTCCTCCTCCCTCCTCCTTCCTCCTCCTCCTCCTCCTCATCCTCCTCCCCTCCTCCTCCTCCTCCTCCTCCTCCTCCTCCTCCTCCTCCTCCTCCTCCTCCTCCTCCTCCTCCATTTCTTCTCCTTTTACTTCTCCCTGTCGCACCCCGAGGCCAGTTTTCAGGGCAGGCCGGGCGTTTCGCCTCAGACTTCCTCACCATGTCTGACCCTGAAGCTTACACATGTGCAACAGTTTCACGGATGGACGGCGGGTCGTTTTCAAAATGTGGTTATCGCCCTAGCGCCGCGCGCATTCGTTTTCAACATTTGCAAGAGCTTCACGGATTGAGGGCGGGTGGTTTCCCAAATGTGGTTCTCGCCGTAGCGCCGCGCACATTCCTACTAACAAATTGCAAGAGTTTCACTGATTTGAGGGCGGGTGGTTTTCAAAGTGTGGCTTTCGCCTCAGCGCCTCGTACATTCGTTTTAACAGTTTGCAACAGTTTTACTGATTAAGGGTGGGTGGTTTTCAAAATGTGGCTCTCGCCTTAGTGCCGCGAACATTCGTTGCAAACATTTGCAATATCTTCGCGGATTGAGGGCGGATGGTTTTCAACATGTGGCTCTCACCATAGCCATAGCGCCGCCAAGAGTTTTGCGGATTCCCATGGTCGACGTACCAGATTTTTTGTTGGAAGGGTTCACGATTTTGAGGGCGCAACAGTTACGATGATTCGTGGAGTTGAGGTCCCAGGAATGACGTTCTAGCACGATTCAGGATTGTCAAGACGCAACACTCAGGTTAATCCGTGGCGCTGGAATGCCGAGAATAACGTCTTGGCGTGATTCAGGGTCTTCAGACGGTTGTCTTCCAACGAGGCAGGTCCCTCTGTGGAAATGAACCGTTGTAGGGGCCTATGATGAGGGAGCTTGGGGGGAGGGTTTATTCAAACATCGTTGGTGACTCTTGGGTTTGCACTGGTCCTCCTCCTCCTCCTCCTCCTCCTCCTCATATCTCCTCCTCCTTGCATGCCCCTCACACACGGGGCTAGGTCGCGCTCGCCCTCGGCAGAAGCGAGGAGCGCCGCGCAGCAGGCGGCGCTGGGCCGAGGGTGCAGGCGGGCAGCACCAGCCCACACACACAGGGGGCCTCCTCCTCCTGCTCCTCCTCCACTTCTCCTCCACTTCTCCTCCCCCTCCTCCTCCACCCTTTCCAGAGGATTGGCGGGGAGCGGGTCTGCCCGCCCACGACCCGGTGGTGAATCCCCCGAGGCTCGGGTGCACTTGCCGCGAGGGCGAGGAAGGCGCGCTCCACGAGCACGATTGGGGGAATCCAGAAGCCGAAAGAAGGTGGCAATCTGGCCCCTCCGTGTGAAAGAAGGGCGGCAATGTGACGTGTGCAGAGGCCCCGTCTGTGAAAGAAGGACTCCTCCAAGAAGCCCATCTGTGCATGTGATGTGTGCAGACGCCCCTCTGTGAAAGAGGGGCTCCTCCAGCAAGCCCAGCTGCGAGAGAAGAACGAGCACTTGGCCCAAACGAGGCGAGGGGCAACAGGCAAGAGAGGATGGGGCCGAGGGCGCGAAAAAAGGCAGCTTGCCCCAGCGGGCGCGGCCCAGGTGCTGCCTCTCCGCCGCCCAGGCACGCCCCCTGGTGGAACAGGCCCGTGCTCTCCACGCGCAGGGTCAAGTCGGGCATGTCCCCCTACAGGAGGAATATCCCAGAAGAGCAAAAAAAAGCACAGTGTGGGGACAACGTGCTCATCATTGTTTGACTATTTGTTTGACACAGTTTTCTTCTTCGTCCAGCACCCGCCCGTGGAAGGACATGCCCGACCTGCGCACAGGGCTGCGTGCCACGGGCCCGGGGGGGCGCTGCCCCTCTGCGCCACGTGCGCGGCGCCCGCGGGCGAGCAGCGGCTCCGCCGGCCCTGCAGGCGGCCTGCACCCGGTGCCCGGAGCTGCGCGAGGTCGAGACCGCCGGCGTGCACGACGAGAGCAGGGCGCCGCCCTGCCGAGCCAGGGGCGGCTCAGCGATGGCGAACGGTGCAGGGGGACGAGATTTACACGTACACGCTGCTCCCTGGCCAGGCCCATCCTGAACCCAGCAGCTGTGCATATACGCCCTTCTGGTCAAGCCAGGAGGGCGTCGCCTATGCACCGCTGCCGGGTTGAGGATGGGCGTGGCCAGGGAGCAGTGGACATGTATAGATCTCGCCGCCCTGCGGCGCCGCGCTTGTCCGACACGCCGCCCCAGGAAAAACACCAGCTCAGGCTGGCAGTCCTGACGGGGCAGCACCTCGCGGCCCCAAAGTCTAGGCCTCCTGTGGAGTCCGAGCAGGTGGGGTCGTGAGATCGCGCCACATCGGCGATGCATCGGCGATGCATCGGCGATGCGGATGCGGACCCCGAGTTTCCCCACGCCGACGTCGCCGATGCATCGCCGGCGTCGCCGGTGCATCGCCGATGCATCGCCGATGCGTCGGCGATGTATCGGCGATGCGGCGCGATCCTCCGTCCCCATCTGCTCCGACTCCACATGGGAGGCCCCTACAGAGGCGTCCTGGCCTCGGGATAGATCTTCAGCCGCGTGGGGCAGCCTGGGGGTGCCTGCGGACGGCGCCGCTTGCGCGGGGGGCAGGTGCCGAGGTCTTGCGTGTCCCCCCCGTTGTGCTCGTCGACGCAGGGGCGGAGCTGACCGAGCGTACAGCGCCGCTGCGCTCGCACAGCCGTTCGCCTTGGCGCCACCACCACCGCCAGTGTCATTCAAGCAGTGGCGAAGCGTCCTGGCTCGCCTATAGGCCCACCAGAGAATCTTCTGAGAACCTTGTGTGGTCTTCACGGGATGTTCTCTGAACATTTCTGGCTGGGCCTGTCTTGTTTTAAGACATCGGGCTTAGGTCTAAGAATGATGTTGTTGTTGTTGTTGTTGTTGTTGTTGTTGTTGTTGTTGTTGTTGTTGTTGTTGTTGTTGTTGTTGTTGTTGTTGTTGTTAGAACGTTTGTTGGTTCTAAGGACGTTCCGTGGTAGGCTAATAGGAATGCCGGGACGGTCGGTCCCTGCACAAGTCATCGCCGTCGCCATCCAGTGTTAGGGGAACGAAGAATTACATAAACATAAAAAAAATCTGAGGTCTGCGCGGATTTCTCGGATCCGCGTTGGGCCCCCCCCTGGCGGCGCCTCCGGCGCCGCCCCTGGCCGATCCGAGAGATCCGCGTGGACCTCCGGGTTTGTATGTTTACGTCAGTCTTCGTTCCCCGAGTGAGCCCATCTTGCCTTTGTGTCCACGCTCAGCTCATGCTCTTGATGCTTATGTTTCCATCGCTCCCGCACCCCATCCCCTACCACCTGGCCCCCGCTCCATCCCTCCCCCATCGTCCTCGGTCACCATCCGAACACCCTCGTCCTCCTCCGCCTCCGCCATGTCCTCCTTCTGCTCCTTCTCCTAAGTATCAGTATTTGCTCTTGATGACCCCGCGCGAGGCCCAGATGCTGAAGCTGGATGTCGGAGACGTGGTGAGGGTGCTCGGGCAGGATCTACTCCTGCTGCTTCTTCTGCTTCTTCTTCTCTTGCATCTTTTCCGTCTCCATACTTTCTCATACCTCTACTACTGCCTTCCTCACCTCCGCCTCTCCGTCTCATCTCTCATTTGCCTCCCTCCTCCTCATCCTTCTCGTCCTCACTCGCCTCGTCACCCGCACGCTCCTCCCTCCTCTCCTCCCTCCTCTCCTCCCTCCTCCCCCTTCTCCTTCCTCCCTTCAGTCCTTCCGTATCCTCTGCCCCATGCCGGCAGGGAAGGGGTCAGGACGGTCGCGGCTGGTGGTACGGCCGAAAGCAGAGCAACAGCAAGGAGGGCTGGTTCCCGCCGTCCTACGTACAAGTCAAGCCGGCGCACTTCACGTCCGCGGACGCCTGACACGGGCTCTTCGTCATTTGCTCCCAGCTGTCGTCTTTCTCCTCCAGTCCTGTCTTGCTCCTCCTCCTCCTCCTTCCACTGTCAATCCTCCTCCTGATCCTCCTCCCTGTCATCGTCGTCGTCCTCAGGCTCCCGCCTATGTGTTTCTCCTCCGCTTCTCCTTCCTTCTTCTCCTCCTCCTCCCCCTCTTCCTCCTACTCCTCCTCCTCCTCCTCCTCCTCCTTCTCCCCCTCCCCCTCCCCTGCCTTCCCTCTTTCGCCTCCACCTTCTCATCCTCCTCAATAAGATGGGGGGGGCCCAACTCAACTCAACTCCGCCTCTTTCCCCTTCTCCTCCTACTTATCCTCCTCTTCCTCCTCCTCCATTCCTTCTCCTTATACATAACTATTCCCTGTCGCACCCCGAGGCCAGTTTTCAGGGCGGGCCGGGCGTTTCGCCTGAGACGTTCTCACCGTTTATGATCCTGAAACTGATAAATTGGCAACAGTTTCACAGATGGTCGTTTTCAGAATGCGGCTCTCGCCTTCGCGCCGCGCGCATTCGTTTTCAAAATTTACAAGAGTTCCCCGGATTGACTTCGGGTCGTTTTCAAAATGTGGTTCTCGCCTTGGCGCCGCGAACATTCGTTTTAAACACTTGCTAGAACTTCACGCATTGAGGGCGGGTGGTCTTCAACATGTGGCTCTCACCAAAGCGCCGCGCACACTCGTTCCAAACAGTTGCACGAGTTTCACGGATTGAGGGCGGCTCGTTTTCAACATGTGGTTCTCGCCTTAGCGCCGCGCATATTTATTTTGACAGTTTGCACAACTTTGACGGATTGAGGGCGGCTCCTTTTCAAAATGTGGCTCTCACCATAGCGCCGCGCACATTCTTGATATAATTTTGCAAAGGGTTCCACGGATTCCCATGACCGACGTACCAGAAATAGCGTTTTTGGAAGGATTCGCAATTTGGAGGGCGCAACAGTTACGATTATTCGTGGAGCTGAGGTCCCAGGAACGGCGTTCTGGCACGATTCAGGATCGTCGAGACGCAACAGTCACGTGGCGGTGGAATGTCGAGAATCATGTTTTGGCATGCTTCATGGTCTTCAAACGGTTGTCTTCCAACGAGGCAGGTCCCTCTGTGGAAGTGAACCGTTGTAGGGCCATATGAAGAGGGAGCTTGGGGGGAGGGATTCTACTAATTTCGTTGGTGACTCTTGGGTTTACACTGGTCCTCCTCCTCCTCCTCGTCCTCCTCCTCCTCCTCCTCCTCCTCCTCCTCCTCCTCCTCCTCCTCCTCCTCCTCCTCCTCCTCCCCCTCGTCTCTTCCCTACCTCCTCCAATATTCTCTGCCCTCCTCCACGCCCCCTCCTCCTCCTCCTCCTCCTCCTCCTCCTCTTCCCCCTCCTCCTCCCCTCCTTCTCCTCCTCCTTCTCCTCCTCCTCCTCCACCTCCTCCTCCTCCTTCTCCTCCTCCTCCCCCTCCTCCTCGTCCTCCTCCTCCTCCTCGTCCTCCTCCTCCTGCTCCTCCCGCGGCTGGGCACCCCCTCTCTTCGTCCTTGCGCCTCCGCGGGCACTGGCCCTTGGCCGCGGCACGAGCACGGCCCGCTGCAACAGGCGGCGGGCAGCGCGCTCTGCGTGCACGGACGCCAGTGCGAGCGCCGAGCTGACATGCAAGAAGAGGGGGGGGGGGCCAAACCCCTTCACGCTGCCAACAAACATCACGACGGGAGGTTGTTCGCTATTTTCGGCTTCTGGGCGCCCCTGCCCGGCCCCAGGAGCGTCGAAAAATTGCTCAGGATGAAAATCCGTCCTGGAGAAAGGGTCCAGACCTTTGGGGATCGACGCTGCGGAAAAATCACGACGTCGGGGGTCTGGGGGGGGACAAATCCCTGAGATTCGGGGGGTCTCGGCGCTTATGTAGCCTCGGGGTGCTCTCCAGCAGCTGCGCCTCGCCGAGGGCGTTCGGGGGAAGGGGGTCGGCATCGTGTCGAGCGGCCGCCGGAGAGCCGAGGTACATGACCCCAGCACTGGCCTGTGTGGGGAGGGGCCTCCTCGCGTCGTGGCAAGACATCGCGACGACAAGTGTCTAAACGCCTTCGGCCTCTGGGGCCCCACCGGGCCCCAGGACTGTCAAACAACGGCTCTGGAGGAACAGCCAGTCCAGGGGAATGGCTCGAGACCTCCGGGAGTCCTCGTTGCTAAAACTCCTCCTCCTCCTTCTCCTCCTCTGCCTCCGCCTCCGCCTCCACCTCCTCCTCCTCCTCCTCCTCCTCCTTCTCCTCCTCCTCCTCCTCCTCCTCCTCCTCCTCCTCCTCCTCTTCCTCGCCAAGGAAGGTCGGTTTCCACGAAGTCGGCCAGAGCATACAAAGGATGCGTCAACGATGCTGCAGTACACTATCGTCCAAGGCCCCCTCTTCGCAGGTGCCTGAAACAATTACCAACTTTTCACCGTAAGAAGCGCCCCGCTTGGAAGACGACCACCCAGAGAGCCTGCCCTTCAAATGAAGCTCCATTTTGAAAATCAACTTCATGGTAATCCTTCAAGCGAATTTCTAAAAGACGCGAAGGCAATATCATAAGGTTCAACCGTGTGTCCGGAAAGTGAGAGAGAGAGGGAGAGAGAGAGCCCCGTTTTAAAAAGTAACCGCGCCCATCCGTTTAACTGTTGCACATGGGTGCATTCCTGAACACCCTATCTGAGGAAGTCTAAAGCGACAGCCCCATTTTGCAACGAAGCCGCCCCCGACCCGCTCACTGCTGACATGTGTTCAATCCTCTCGTCGCTCATTCAGAGGGAGAATCAAGCCAGAGCCACAGTTTCAAACGCAACCGCCCTCAATCCTTTGGGTGTTGCAGACCTTGGGGACGTAGGTGTAATGTCGCTCAGGCGAAATGTCAATGTTGATATCGATCCCCTCTATCCGTATAGCTGTTGCAAGCCTATGTGTTCGCGGCGTGAAGGCGAGAGCCCGACATTGCAAACGACAGCCCCCCTGCACCCTTCTTGCTGTTGCAAGCTCCCAAGAGGAATGTGCATGGCGCTACGGCGACAGCCCACTTGTGAAAGCGGCCCCTCCCTCCATCCTTGTAGTTGCTTCAAATGTTTAAGCTGACTGCGCGCGGTGCTGAGTTGAGAGCCCCGTTCTGAAAGCGGCCCCCTCAAGCGGTGCAGCTGCTCAAAGTCTGAAAGGCGCAGGTGCGCTTCGCTAAGCCGATTCCAATGCTGAAACGAGCCCCTGCATCAGCGCATCTCTTGCACATGTCGAGCTTCAGGACCATCAGCGGTGCTGAAGTCTCAAGCGAAGCGCCTGGGTTCCCCTACCGACGCGCTTGGCGGTGCGACAGCGAGGAGTTATTTGATCGCTTCACTCATTCCGCCAGCGCTGGAGCCCTCTTTGGGGCCTCTTGGGGGCCTCTTGGGAGTCTCTTGGGGCTCCTTTGCGGCGTCCTGGGGGCCCCCAGGGCCTCTTGGGGGGTTCTTGGGGGCCTCTTGGGGCCGGAGGGGGGTAGCCGATTGCGGCTCCAACCCTCGGAAGCCACGATCCTCGTGAGGGGTGTCGAAAAATCGCGCTCCCTTGGAGTCCTCTGGGGGCTTCTCCCGGGACCTTGCCGGGGTACTTTTCGTCCGGGGACCCCCAGGGGCCGCCCCGCACGCGCGAACTAGAAACATTGTGAACCAGTTACCGGAGATCTTAGCACGCCTCTGGCCGGTTGGGCCGGCGAATTTATACGTAGGGCAACAGGGTGGTGGAGGAGGAGGAGGAGGAGACCGACGACGCTAGCTTCGGCGACGACGGAGAAGCGGGGGCGGGAGGAGGATTGGGAGAGTGAGAGAAGAGGGGGAGGAGGGAAGAGGAGGAGGCGGAGGAGCAGGGGAGGAGGGGCAGCCACGAGGAGGAGGAGGAGTCGGAGGGGGAGGGGGAGGAGGGGGAGGAGGATACAAGGAGGGAAGGGACAGATGACTAAAAGGAGAGGTCAGAGTGAGAAGACAAAGATGATGAAGCAGTAGGAGTTGCGCGGGTGTTTTTCCTTTCGCGACATTCCTCTTACTGCTCCTCGTCGTCCTCGCCGCCATCCACCCCATCCTGATCTTGGGCGTCATCTTATGCGGCGTTGTCTTCCTCCTCCCCGATTACCTCCTTCTGCTCGTGATCGTCCTCGTCTTCCTCCTCTCTGGACCTCATTTCCGCCTCCTCCTCCTCGTACTCTTCCTCCTCCTCTGCCTCGTCTGGCATATTATCCAAATCGTGCATGCACTTCGGAGCTTCGATTCGCCAAACAGCGCTTGCACTTATAGGTTCTTCTATCTCTTCTGGGGACCTGGGAGGGAGATTGTCGGTCTGGCGGCTATGTCGTCGCAGTCGCCGCCCCGTCGCCACCTCGTCGCCGCCCGTCGTCTGTGAGACGGTTTGGCGCCTACGTTGCCGCCTTCGCCGCCCCGTCGCCGCCTAGTCTCCGCCCGTCGTCTGGGCCAAATTGTCAGTCTGGCGGCTACGTTATCGCCGTCGCCGCCCCGTCGCCGCCTAAATAACACCACGTCGATTGCACTGCATAGAGTACTTACCTGATAGAATATTCGGATCTCCCCCCCCCCACAGGCATTAACGATTCCCGTTTGCGTATTGCAAGTTGCAGATCTGTCTGCCCCACCGTCGCTCTTTAATTATGATTTCGCATCATTCCAGGCAGGCCGGCATCGATCCCCCCCCTCCCCATCCTCTGCAACAAAATTGCGCGCGCACGAGTTTATCGCAAATCTTTCGCTTGTAAGAATTCCTTGTAAACAACGCGCGCGTCGTCGCGTGCGCATGCCGACATCCCAGAACAAACATGGGTTCCGTCAGGATTTCAAAATCGAGTGTCCGGAACCATGTAACAACACATGGTTTCGCAACACGGTTTTTTGACACAAAGGAACCAGCACTTGGGCTCTTCCGAATTCTTAGGCAATTTATGATTCTTCAACTTGTTCATCCCCTGCTTCCAATCGGGCCTCTCGCGCGCGCATGTCGACATCGCTCGAAAGCCCTTGCGCGCGTGCTGTCGAAAGAATCCTTT